AGACTACTCTATCCCCCTCACGGAATATAATCTCGACACTAGCTCATCTGAGGTGGTCACTTCAATAACAGCTCTGTTTGGTTCTGTGCAGGAAAACATTCACTAACATATTGGCCGGTCCCGCAAAAAAATCGTGGAGGTCAAGTTACATCCAAATAGCGCTACAACTTCGAATGATAGTCAAATACGCAGCGAATCCTATAGGAGACCTGTCCGCCCTTTGTCAGACTTCGCTAATTCTTGCATGCTTCAAAACTAGGACGATAGAATGGAAAAGGTTCTGTAGATCGGATTGGAAATGCGCACATGGTTTGTGGGGACTGCACCTCTAGCATCATTTCAGTTCACGACCACATGTTCCAGTTTCAGCATCCGGAATGTGCGATTTTCCAAAACAAGTACGGTAACAAAAATAATTTAATTGGACCGCCAGCTGTGGCGTCCAATGGGCGCCTGCATACCTGCTCTCTTCTTGAAAACACCTGGGATGATGACACAGTGTGTACACCATCTCTTCAGTGTGTTAATCAGGGTGATTGACATTTGTGGATTCTCCTTGATCTCAACAATTAGTTCGCGTTCAGGATAGACCGTTGTCATAGGAATAGAGAGGATTTTGAACTCTTCATTTCTCGTGATAGTAATGGCAGGTCGTCCTGTAAAAAAAGATTGTTCCTTGATGTTCCTAAAAGAACTCGCAAAGCTCACAAAGCTCATTCTGAGACTCACCAGGCTGACACGATCTGAGCTCCCGCAGATTTGGACAGCTAAGGCCTTTCATTGTTGTTCCTGTGATGACAATGCAAGTTTGCATGAAAATGGCGTTCGAGCAGAATCTGTTCAGTTCCTCTTCAGCAAATTCCACAGCATTGATAACAACGAAATAGTCATCTCTTGGTCTGATGATTTCTCTTCCGGCACACGCTTTCACGAACTCTTTGGCAGTGTAGCGCGGTTTTTTGATACCACAAGCTGTAAACGAACTGCTAACTTTATGCAACGGTAAGGGCTCCACTTAGACCTAAAGGCACAGTCCACGGTTGATTAACATGGGTTGCCACCTTCGGTAATGGAAGTCGATGGTGGTTAATTGCCTTAAAGCGAGAGATTACGATAGGATTCTGTTGTGCTTCATAGTGGAAGTGGAGATGCTGAATAATGCCCTAGTAGCGAAAAAAGCAAAGAAATCCGTCAAAAACGCGCAAAATGGGACCACTTCCTCTGCCCGTTGACCTCCGATAATGGACGAGTTGGCAACCAACTAAGAGGTCGTCGGCACTCGTTAAACCATAGCTGCCATCATACCACCAGAGATCATACCTTGATTGATATAGCATTCCATGAGAAAAAAATTGGATACGCGCTCGAAGTGGCATACCTTATCAGAATGATAATCGAACAGCGATCTGCTGAGGGGCGGAGCACAGGCGGAGGCGGAGCTCAGAAAGGATTGGCAGCCCCAGGGCGCTGCAACGAGCGCACCTTTAGTCACAAAAAGGCCACATCTCGATTCCTTTGGGCTCTAGCTACTGCTTGAAGTGCTGCTCGTTCTTCCATGCTGCACAGAAATTTTATCGTAATTTCTCGCTTTAAGAAGAGAGCTATTGACTGTTAAGAACTGTTGAAACCACGACTCACTACTGCTTTATCATTGAGGAGTCTCACTTTTTAATCATAATTTACCACATCAAGAGGAAACTCCTTCAGTGATATGGAAGTTTCGAACAGTTTTCTTCGCTCTCTTTCAAAATTGGTCATGCATTACCACACCTTTATTCATTTTTAGTCGCAACAACGCCACTTTTGTGTAATCGTGGGATGTGCCTTTTAGTCCTTGCGTAACTGGTAATAAGGGATGCAGACTAACCTAAGGATGATTCTTCAAAGACGCAATTGGTGCACCATATGCTGATTGATTTGAACTGCTCCTCCGCTAGATATGGATTTCCTCTGATCACAGCACTCTCGATACATCCATGCCTCTTGCATGATGGGAATTGAAGGTGTGTGAGACGCATATTGTTTTTCACTATGAGGCCGGGTTTTCCTGCAAATCGCCATGGAATTCAGTACAGTTTCGGCTGATTATGAAGAAAATGCTTACCACTATCGCATGATTTCCATAGGGTCAGTTTCGGGAATACCAGGTTCCTGATGGGAGTACTGTCGATTTTTAGGCACATCTGTACTTCCACAGCAGCAGAGAATAAGCGATTTATTTGGGTCTCTGTGAGTTCCTTCTCAATTACTAGTCCTTGACCGGTGATTATTGGCTCTCCTGCACATTTCTCGATGAACGCCTCAATATTTCCAATGCCATTTAGTCCACTGCACCCTGAAGCTCAGATGATTACCGGGTTTATCCCTGTGATTCTAAACTAACTTGAGCGGATCGGCTCGATTTCACACTGTGGGCAGATCTCCTTCAGCGTAGTAATTACTTTAGATGAAAGAATTGCATTCTGTTTTACGACCATGATTTTCTGACCCCACGAATAACTCACTGACGGAGGAATGTGCACCATTTCCAGATGGGAGTTACTGATAATTGTGATGGCCGGTCTACCTGAAATAGGTAAATTGGAAAGAAGGATAGTGATCGTATGGGTATAACCCGCGATCGTATAGATAGAAATAAGTGAGCCTAAAACAGGAAGTAGTCATGCTACTCGATCCACCCAGTAATAACAAAAAGACCAAAAAATGCTAGGAACCCTTAATTTTACACAACACACAAAATTTACACACTACACCCTTTTGAGCGGGTTTTTGCCACTTCGCCCTGCCTGGCAGTTTCATGGATGAGCGTTCATGTTCTGGTATGGGTGGAACACGTTTAAGAAGGTCGTTCTAAACAATTGGAATTACCCGTAGGGGCAGGGAGGCGCAAACCCGCCCATACGATCGGCGCGCTGTTCTAGGCGGGTTGCGCGCTTTGTGTTCTTCGCTTTTGCCACCACTGATGGTATCAATCCTTGCATAAACTTACTGCTCATGATACACTCTCGATACATCCATGCCTCTTGCATGATGGGAATTGAAGGTGTGTGAGACGCATATTGTTTTTCACTATGAGGCCGGGTTTTCCTGCAAATCGCCTTGGAATTCAGTACAATTTCGGCTGATTACGAGGAAAGTCCTTACCACTATCGCATGATTTCCATAGGGTCAGTTTCGGGAACACCAGGTTCCTGATGGGAGTACTGTCGATTCTTAGGCACATCTGTACTTCCACAGCAGCAGAGAATAAGCGATTTATTTGGGTCTCTGTGAGTTCCCTTTTCATTACTAGGTCCTCGACAGTAATTATTGGCTCTCCTGCACATTTCTCGATGAACGCCTCAATATTCCACATGCCATTTAGTCCACTGCACCCTGAAGCTCAGATGATTACTGATTACCGGGTTTATCCCTGTGATTCTAAACTAACTTGAGCGGATCGGCTCGATTTCACACTGTGGGCAGATCTCCTTCAGCGTAGTAATTACTTTAGATGAAAGAATTGCATTCTGTTTTACGACCATGATTTTCTGACGACCCCACGAATAACTCACTGCGAAGGGAATTGGTGTTCCCATTTCGAGATGGGAGTTGCTGATAATTGTGATGGCCGGTCTACCTGAAATAGGTAAATTGGGAAAGAAGTGATCGTATGGGTATAACCCGCGATCGTATAAATAGGAATTACTAAGCCTGAAACAGAAAGTAGTCATGCTCCTCGATCCACCAGTAATAACAAAAAGACCAAAAAATGCTAGGAACCCTTAATTTTACACAACACACACATTTACACTAACCCTTTTGGCGGGTTTTGTACTCCGCCCTGCCGCGAGTCATTGATGGGAGCGTTTGTTCTGCGTTATGGTGGACAGCGTTAAGGAATCGGTCTAAACCAATTGGATCCGTAGGCGGCGGAGCGCAACCCCATACGATCGGCGCGCGGCGTGTTTTTGAGGATTTCCACTTGAGTTTTTTTTTCGCTTTTGCCACCACTGATGGATCAATCCGCAAAACTACTTCCATTTTCGGACGCAAAAAACTTAAACCTGTTCATCGCGCAACGCCCCTTCAATGATAATGGCCAGAAGACTTACCTTCTCGGCATGATCGTATTTCTTGTAGGTATGGACAGCGGAATGACCTGTATGCTGAGTTCTCGATAACGATGCAAGCTTCCATGTAGATGGCTTGTGAGCAGAAGTTACTCATTTCAACTTCAGACACTTCCGATGATCTTATGATGATCTCGGAATGTTCTGATTGTTTGATAATCTGTTTGCCAGCGCAAGCCTTCACGAACTGCTTGACTGTGAACGGATTATTGCCAAGACCACAGGCTGAAAAGTTCCTATTCAAAGATGTCGTCTGAATATGAGCGCAGCACTTCCAGGATGGACCGCTTCAATAGATTTGCGCCAGAAGGGTGTCGCTCAGTAGACCTCCGACCTTACTGCTTGGGCTGCATCCTGAGCCACGCTCACATCTTAACCGCGACGTGGGTCAAGAAGTGTGAGCCGTTTCTTCTTTAGCTGTACTCGGCCGCACAATTTCTTCAACTGCGTGGTTGTTCTGCGCATAAGCTGAGCCTTCAGAACGAAATGCAGTAACGAAGCAAGGATGAACGCGTTCCTCGCACGCGGTCACTCATATCGCCTTCCTGCTGAGGAAATCTCCTCGCTGCATTCAGTTAGCGTTAGATTGAGCGCTATGAGGAGCACTTATGAAGCGTGCGCAACCACCAGCCCAGTGCGACACCGCAGCGTGATCTACCGCCACTTACTCTCAAACGGAGTCTAAGATGAAGAAACAGCTCAGTAATAATCAAGGCAGAGGTAGCTAGCGATAGCAGGTATGAAGAAAAACCATGGAAAGGGCCCAGAATCGAATTGGGACCCATTCTTCCCCCCTCAGACTGGTTCTGGTTTCATGGTTGGCTGATGCGGCTCTCATCGGGTGATACCCTCTTCAATGTCAAGGCTCTCTCTGCTAAACGGCCAGAGTCAGACGGCGAGGGGTTCGTTGGGCGTGCAGCGCCGCGAGGAAGGCCCTGTCCCGCACTCTTTCTGAGCCTACGTGCCTTTTGATTAGATATATTTCCCCTTTTTCAACCCCCGACCTTATCACAGAACCTCTTTTGGGTGCCAATGCTACACAAGAGCTCAGCTGTGTTATATTGTAAAAAAGACCTGGCACGTAGTTCTGTAGGTGACAACCGATGCACCATTGACGAATTTGTTCGATGTATTGTTGATGAAGTTCTGGATTGCCGGCAATCACCACACGCTCAACACATCCTTTATCCTGGCAGGCGGGGAAAACAACTTGCTTCAGATGCACATTGTTTACGATAGTTATTGCCGGCTTGTCTGCAAGTACACATGGAGCTTTGAACGTGAGCAACGGAGATGCCACAGTGACTCACTTGGTGCACAGGCTTTCCATCGTTTCAGCTTCGGGAACACAAGACTTGTGATTGGCGTATTCCGGACAACAAGGCACATCTGAACTTCAACAGCACCAGAAAATAGTCGCTTAACCTTGGTTTCGGTCAAGTTGAGCTCCAGAGTGGTGTCCTCTGCTCCGATGATGACTGGCTGTCCAGCGCACTGCTCAAGGAGCTCGTCTACATCTCTGATAGGTCCCATACTGCTGCATCCTGGAATAGCAGATCGTTTTGCTTCGAGCGGAGATGGAGGCATATTTTGTGAACGTACTCGAGTACTGGGACACAATGTTGCAGTAAGGGCAGGTCTTTTTCAGCCGACGGGTCACAATTGGTGGCAGCTTCGGATTGTTCAGTGACAACGAGCACGTTTTCCCCATATGAGAATGTCACTGTGTTGGGTATCTCCACATTCGTCAGTTCGTAGTTCTGAGTGATCTCGAACGCTGGTCTACCTGCAAATCATTTTTGTTATTACGAAGTATATTTATAATGTGAGTGAAGAGGCGTCGAAAGGTTCAATGATTCAAGACTTCCTGAAGCCAACCTGGTTGACATGATTTGATGCGCTGAAGCTTTGGACACCGTATATTTTTGTAGCTGGACTCTTTGATTACAATACAGGCTTCCATGAAGATAACTTCCGAACAGAATCTGTTAAATTCCTGTTCAGTCACTTCCGATGAACTGATGTATATGGTGGAGTTGATTGCTGGCGTGATAATCTTCTTTCCTGCGCATCTGTTCACTAATTGTTTCGCAGTGATCTGCCCACTTCTCATACCACATGCTAAAAAAGCATATTTCATTGAGGATCACGGCTATGTAAGCTTCGATCTAGAAACATGTTGTAGTTTCAACAAATACTATGCAAAAACATTCGAGCTTTCGTTTGTGATTGTTAACTGCGGATAGCCGTAGTTTGCCATATGAACAAAAGGCTGTCGATTCATGTGCAAAACTTTTTCACCTTAGGCGAGAATCGAACTTGATTGCACTCTTACTGTCGGTCTCCGCCTCTAACTTGCAGTCGAACTTACCAGGGGTCTTTCGAAATGCGCTGAATGTTGGGGATGGGGACGGGGATGGGGAAAGGTTGGGAGAGGTTCGTCGCAGGACTCCACTTTGCAACGGTCGCACCTTTGATTTTGCAGCTTTGTTTCCATTCTTTTACTGTTCCTGATTGTATATTCGCTTGTCAATACCTTCCTTCATCCAAAAAAAAGCAATGAAAGAATGGAGACAAAGCTACAAAATCAGGGCCCAGTGAGTCTTGCGACGGAACCTCCCCAGCCTTTCCCCATCCCCATTCCATCCCTCCCCAACATTCAGCATACGGCCCCAGTCATGCTACGCAATACACCACCGCCTCTTCACATTCACCCAATTTTTGGTGGTCTGTTTACAATAGCTTGAGCGCTGAGACGTATGTAAGGCGAAAGGTGAGGGCTTGATTCTCGCCATAGGGTGACGGTTAGGCCCCATAATTTAAAGCAACAGTTCAGGAACGGTTTCGCGGGAAAAAACCACCAATAATGAAGTTGTAGATGAAAACCAGACGATTAATGTATGAAAAACTGGAAAAAAACGTCGGGGAGGGTCTTAGACAGGTACTCTCCCTCTGCCGCTCAGCAATGGATAAAGACGCACGTTGGACGAGTTGTCTGAACGTGCCCGCTGTAAACGCGCTCCATTTTTCAATCAATTTTCCCTGTGGTCCCAAAACGAGCACGATTGCCGACGCGTCCAATGACGGCCGGCAAGGGGGCGGGATTGGGGAAATCCCCAAGAACACCCATGTTTGAGGGACTTTCCACCCTGTTTTTGAGTTTCTGAGGTAAGTTCGTTTATTATTTCCACTGCATATGTTCTTCACTAGGGCTCGTGTATCCCTCAGTAGTAGTGGCATTGAAATTTTCGGACCCTCCCTGAACTGTTGCTTTAAATTCTCGTGAATCTTAATTTCATCATTTTATACGACAATCTTCCAAGCAACGACCTGTTCGATAAAGGTCTGAAGCCTGGATTACATGATAGATAGTCGATTTACGAGTGTCAAGAAGTTTCGAGACTATAATCCAATATCTAAATTGATTTAACAATGACAAATTGTAAGTTCAGGCGGGCTAAATATACGTGGCGGGGGGACCAAAGAAGTCAATCCGCCTCCTCATTCAAAACAGAAATAACTACGCTTTGCTTATTCGTACGGAATGCTTATAAATGAAAATTGGGAGCATCTCCAATGTATAAAGAACTTCATAATAGTCTATTATAATTCCTTCTTTTCTCTACCTTGGTCTGTGTTTCCCATTTCTACTTGTCACATACATTTAATATGTATAATTACGCACACCAACACAACAATGGAGAGCGAGTTCACATACAATTAGACCGTTGAAAAATTCAGAGAAGAGCTATGTATTGCATCTCAGCGTCACGGAAATACGCAGCATTACGTTTATTGCATAATTGTACTATTTTTGGATCCCTAGTATCGCGTCACGTTCAAGCGACATTTCCATGAATTCGATCCGGATTCGCAAAGCAGCAAATTACGGGGTTTCACACATTCGTCACATTTATGAATCATTAGCGATCTATTGGGAATGGCGTTCGCCAACATCATGTTGTTATTCTAAATGACGTTCAAATTCTGGAACTGCATTACGTCAGGCACATGTGAAGCCGTGTGCGGGATAATTCTTTGCGCTACGCTGAACACGTCCCTTTTTAGTGAAACTTCGAGTTCGTAAATTTGCCTACTTTACGCGTCTTTCCCAAAGTTTCCGGCAAAATAGTCGGAAAATCCGTCAAAAATAATCCTCTCGATCCACACAAATTTCTTCAGCGTTCTACGCCCCAAATTCAAACTTTTCGCCTAAACGCCGACAATATTGGGCTTGACCCATTTAATTTCTCGGCGATTTGGTCCAAATTCGATATTCACAATTCCTTTCAATGTCAGTGTATGAAGCTTCATCGATGACAATACAAGTTACCTATTGCTCGTAGCGAACGCACATCCCAGGGACCTCTTCAGCCAGACCGAATGATCCACGAAGCTTAGAGTGCACCGCAAAAGCACGAGCAACTAAGTAGGATCAAACACAAGATACGCAGACCCAAACCCACACGATATTTTGCTCTTGACGAGCACAAATAACTTCAAAGAAAGAACCTTTCCGCAAGTGGAAGCGCCAACGTATTTAAGCACATCCATCAGCCCCCCTGCCACTACCATTTTCTCCTTCGTCCCCAGGCTCTTTTGCCTGTAACTTAATCGATCGCGGCCACGTAGCACTTATTGCAGGCTCCCATCAGCACTACCGCTCAAAGTCGAACCCTCCCACCCAACCCAATACCCGAATCGTCGCAGCCTCTGCTCAAAAGTGTCAACACCTCATCGGCCGGACCTCTATATCACTTTTCGCATGTAACGACGACCGCAGTCTGCGCTAATACGCGACACTACGACAGCCTGCGCATCCAGCAACTTAATTAGCAGGGACCCAAACTTGTAGCGCAAACCCATCTACGGGCGCCAGCTGGACGCCTCCATGACGTCGAACACCGACTCGCAAGGGGCCTCCCCGATGCAGCAGAATGAAGTCCTCGATGCTCAGACAAGCAGCCATCGCAATGGACCGACCCAGGATCGACAACGCACCAATCATGCCCCATCTGAAGCAAGCTTCATTCTGCGACCCCGCCTACTAGACCAAGCCACTACTCACTGCAGTGCGCCACCGCTTGCAGACCCTGAGTCCATGAGCCCCTAGTACCCGATAACCAACCACGGGCCTCGACACCCCCCCCATACGGCTAGGCTACCTCCGCAGCCTGGACGCAGCACATCAACCAAAACCCGAGCTGTTTCATCAGAGAGTGTGACCCCGCTTTGTTGGATTCGCTGGGTATCCCGTTTTGAAAACCATTTCACGTTATGCAGACAAGCATTGCGAAGGTAACCATGGAATAGCTTCCAAAGTTGGCTGCAGCAGTGCAGGGAGGACGGTTGAAAAAGTCTCAAAATCTCCTTTATCCGGAGGACCGCCCGAAATCACATTGCAAAGATAACTCGCCACGTTTCGAGGGAAACTGGCTGGACCACGACACCACATCTATCGTATAGCCCTTACGTTGCTCCATCGTACTATCACCTCCTCAGCCCCCTGAAGCAGCAGCTTAGGAGAGGAAAAGTCAGTAAATACAACCACCCCAAAAACGACCTCTTCGAGCTTTTCGTCTCACAGCTTCTCTCGTTCTGGGAGCATCCACTCGTTTATCTTAGGATGTGTGTGCAAGATAATTATTCATGGTGTTATTTATTTGAGGGCGGAAGTGGTGCAGTGACAAGTGGCGCGCTCACCACGCGAGCGGTCCGGGATCAAATCCTGGGTCGTGAGTCGCCCGGGCCAACCAAGCCTTCCATCCCTCCGGGGTCGGTTAATTGGTACCAGACTTGTCTGGGAGGATAAAAACACTGACTTGAACATCGGCTGGCCCCCGCAAGTCATTGTATAGGCCACATCGCATTCAAACGCCACTACGAATGTACAAATGGAAGTAGAATGCGTGCCGCATCCCAAAAAGGGATTGATCAACGGCAAATGCTTTATCCTTTATCCTTTATATTTAATAATTTTCTTAGAAGAGATAAAACTTGTTAGGGATTGCAAAAGTGTTGAATTCGCGCCAGAAAGTATGGGTTCAAACCCAATATGACTCCATGAAGCTTGCGAATTGGACACCGGGCAATACGGAAGGTGGGCATTGCTGGCGGTATAGCAGCTGCTGCTCTACTACGGTTTAGCAAACGAATAGCTTTTAAAAAAAAATAAAATGAGCAAAGCTCGCCTTGGCGCCAGGGCAGTGGTTTTTTGCCTCTATCCACACTTCCTAGTGGTGGATGTCGTTCGAACCCTACTGCGAAATGAGAAGTATGGAAGGGCATCGAACCCAGCTAACCTCTAATGCTCCGGTGTGTTTCCATAAAGGATCAAGGCCCAGAATGTTCGTCACCAAAATCTGGAGATCTTTCTGTTTAGCCGTATGTAGATTCACGGATTAGAGATGTTCACGATCGTTGATCTGTCGCTATCATTATTCAAAAGGGAATACCTTGTGAGTGGCTCTCCACATGGCAGTTGACACACCATTTTTGGATAATATCGATTTCCTGTCGTGGAAGTTCTGGAT